TGAGGTTGCTCTTTCACAAAGCAAAGTGAAGCAAAGTTGCTATTTGGACAACAATCTTCAGCTGCCTCACTATGTCTCGCTGCCATATGTACATATTTTCGGGCCCACAATGTCACTTGCTGGATAGCTCGTCAGCCAAGATACTGAACCGTTCCTTTCACGCTTGCGGGGCCTCAATTGCATGTGCGCATGGCGGGCTGCAAGGATGGAGGGCTCTTGGAACCTGCAACTGCTAAGCTTCAAGCACATTGAAACTGTAGTCGTACATTGTCACCCCGGGCCAGGTATTGCAGTTCAACCCTGGAGATTTCAAATAGCTCTCCCATGCTGCTTCACGCCTCCAAGCACTGTAGAAAAGGAGTGTAGCTTCATCCATTCAAACGTCTGGAGACTGAGCTGCCCCGCCAGCCTGCGGTATAACGTCTTCATTGAAGTACTAAGCAGGGCAGCAGAGACAGCGAACGTGGAGAAGGAGAGAACCAAGTGCCTTCGCTCCAAGTGCTCTCTTTGGGCTTCATGCGAGAATCTCACACTTAAGAGCTCAAGCTCCTTACAAGTCTAAGAATATACAACCCACAAAAAGGTGTCACAGAATGTCAATGGCCTGGCGCGAATCAAAGCGCAAAAGTCCTCCGCCAAATAGTGGGTCTGGCACAAGGTAATGTGACCGATTGATCACCAGGTTGCTTAACATGTCACTCATTGTAGCAACCAACCTGGCCTCTCGATGAAAGATTCTCAAATGCCATGGAACGGACGTTTCATCGAACTTGTTGTCGGGGTATTGCACCAACATCATTGCTTTCTTCGCAGCATCAAGCAGCCGCTGTGAGCAGGGTGCATTCCTCAGTCGCACAAAGACAGCACAATAAACAGCAGTAGGATCAACAACTGAGGAGGCCAACGACCTAATCAAAGTTCACAAAAAGTAGATAAATTGCACAGCTCCTCTAAAGACTTCACCTGTCAAAGCACTGCTGGCACTTTGTAAACTTTTTGTGATGTTCTGCTGCAAGTTGAGTACACGGACTTCAGCCTTCTCAAAATCTATAATCGGTGATGCATGTATGTGGGCGGACACCGGATGCCGTGTTCGCATGTGGTAATGTTATAATGTTTTTTGCGGTTTCCTGCATTTTTTTTCGCTTCTGGCCTGACTGCAGCAAGCAGCTTCTGCAATGCTCCCGTGTCTGACAGTGGCATTTCAAGAATCAACTGGCGCGAGTTGGAAACTGTCAGGAGCTTGCTCCCAAAGCCAAGCCACCCTTTTTGGATGAGGAGAATCTTGGTAAAGTTATTCTTGTTCTCCTCTATGATCTTCTCATACATGCTGCAAGGTGGCTGGCCCCAACTGTAATCCTGCCAGGCATGACAAATAGCCACTGCAAACCACTGTACATAAAACAAACGAGTCAAAGGAGCTTGATTCTCATGAGAATGCGATGGGAACACAGGAAAGCAACATCTCGTGTGTCGATCGTTGGCCAACTAGGACGCAAGCATGTTAGACGCGACCAGATTCCTTCGACTTTCCGAAACCGCTCCGGGTACTTCTGAATGTCGTCCGCGCGCATGTGAACGGTGAGGGTCCGGTCGGCGTCAGAGTCCTACAAGTCCGCAGAAGATTGTAACACAGTGGGCCTCACTAGGTTTCAGAACTCTGTGGATGCTTGCTTTGCCCACATAACCCCAGCGCACTCCCCAGTGCCCAAAGGCTATTAAACTGAGGGCCATCAAATACAGGCAAATTTCGAATCGTTGGCTTCCCCCTTTGTCAGTGGCGTGGTCATTTGGGCAACTTGTGGAGCATGCCTGTCCTCGGGTCTCTGCAAGCACTTCTGGATCAGCTCGCCAAGGCGCGGCCGAACAAATTCCAGAGCCAGCTGATGGTACACCCACATCGGCGTGTTTGTAGCGCCTCATCTTAAAACACAAACTCACCACTACTACTCCACCCCATCACCCAGTCACAAGGATTCTGCAGAAGAATCAAAAAAGGTGAAGTAGAAGTCATAACTCTTTCCATCTGCGTCACATGTATTCTGGATTGAAACATACTGCAACACAATGCACGTGTCATATATGTACAAGATTCAACACGACTGATATTTCTTACACGAGCACTTCAAAACCAAGAATTATTTTGCGTTGTTGTAATTTAATTTGTGATGTGCAAATGTGGCCGGACCATGACCATAGGTGGTTATGCGCCATTCGATGCATTCTGAGGTTGATGACAGTTTGTATGGTGATTTGTGATGTGAAGTGCAGTGTGGTGACGTGGAGTGTCAATCATCTGTCGATATCTACACCCTTTGCTCCTAAGAAACCTATTTTTGCTCTTGTCTTCATTTGATCGTGATTTCTGAGTCTGCAGGCCCTCTCAAAATGCAAAAACAATAGGGATATGCCTCTGAGTTTTTAGTTACAGTAAAACCTCTCAAGCAGCAAACAATTCATGTCATCTCCTTACGATTCGAAGTCCTCAAATGCATTCAGCCTCAAGATGCCGCGATTTCAGTGTGATTTTCAACCCAAAGATGCGTCTGCAATGAAAGCAAAACACACACAAATGCAAAACCTCATGCAACTGATTTCCCTTGTGATTCACCTTCCAAAAAAACCCGCGATTCCAGGAAACCAGCAAAACAATTGCGATCAGCATGCCATGCAGCACCCTCACGCAGCCATGCCAGAAATGGTAACCCTTTGTAACTCGGAAGCTTCAAACTTCACTTTTCACTCCTTCTTTTGATGAATCAAAGGAGGCCAAGCCGCAATAGTTCCCAAACCAGGGATGCCTGTGGTTGGCGTGACGCGGGCACTTGAGCAAGTGCTTCAGCTTTGGGTCTTGATGAGGAAATTTGAGCTTTGTTGGCATGTCCAACAGCCCAATTTGGTGACTGTACGCATGCATGTTGTCCTGGTGCTTGGGGAAACGCACGTCGCTGACATGGCACAAATGAGCAAAAAGCAACAGATTCAAGATCTGATGGATGTGATTTCCCAGCCGGCCATTCCATGTAGACACCTCTGCAGAAGCAGGACACAGTAAACGTTCCTCCCGCGCTACTGTATCAAAGTAGCTGGAATTCCACCAGCTTGCAATGCTTTCAGTGCTATTTGCAGATTGTGACCTCCCAGGTCTGCCAAACTGATGCTGAGAACCAGGAGAGGGACGACTTTGGTCACCCGTTTCGCTGGTTGTAGTATCTGCATCAAGGCTGACTCTGGCCTCAGGCTGATCGCTCGTCGATGAATCCAGACTGTCAGAGTCACTTGACGGGGTGAAGATCAGCTCTTGTAGCTGAAGCGCATGCCGTGCCATCGGCCCCTTTCCATTGAGCTGTGTGGTGTTCTCGTACAGGATGGAACCTAGAACCACCACAAAGAAACCTCGGAAGTTGGCAATCGTGCATTTTGATTTTCTTGATTTTATACCTGAGGAGAAAGCAACCTTGTGCCGTCCCTGCTTACAGTACCCTTACCCTTTGCATCTTGCCGCCACTGCCACCAAGTAGCACGGCCCTGCAAGGATGAAACACGACCTGAAGCTGGATCTGCAAAAACGAGGCTCGCTGCACATGTCCCATGAGGCCAGGTGTCAATCATATGTTGTTCTGAGCCGCTGGTGCCACAAATCGAATTGATTGCAAGTGACTATGTGCGTTGTTTCAATGGAAATTGCTAAGACCTGCCCTCATTGAGCTGGCTTATGGATGCTAGTTGAAGTTCTGTTTGCACAAAGGTGGTCTTGAAAAGTCATGAACAGTCTGCGAATCGATGCGGCTGCAGCTGTAGGGATGAGGGGAATTTCGAACTGAGAACATCTTCATCTAAAGACTCACGGACTGAAAGCCACTTTGCTGCAGATTGGCCTTGCACCCAAATGTTTGCACATGCACGCGGTCACATCACCCCAACAGGAAAGCGTCCGAAATCAAACAGTTTCACGAGGATGCCTGCGTTTCCAAGACAGACTTGATAATGTGAAAGCAAGCGCACGGCGCTGAGAGTGCAGGCGGTGCCTCACAAGAATCAAACACACATATTTGTACTCTTGTGAAATTTGGATAAGCATCTTTACTTTGGTTGCAGAATGCCTTTTGTCAGTGACTCCCCTGTTCTACTTCTACTAATTCTACTTATCCTGTGACTTGCTTGTCCTTCTTAGTAACTTAGAAGGTGCGCACTCAAGTCCCAACACGCAGTTTACGCCACCTGGGGTCTTCTGCTGGAGGAAGACGGTGTTCGCGCCTTGGGCCGTTCTTCCCATCGTGCAAGCAACAAAGTCAAAGAAGAATCATTGCCTGCAATGTGGCGCTCTCAGCTTCCAGGCCTCAAAAACTGCCAACGTCATGCTATGCGATGCAAAAACTGAACGAATGTGCCAAGTTCAAGCTGAGAACATAGCTGTCGAGGTAAGCATCCACATCTTCATCGTCCGTTTCCATCGTAAGCACGTTGGTTTGAGGCAGCGTGCCCACCCCCACACTATGTCCTACAGAAAAATCTCTTGCACTGCTTGGTCGCCGAGCAAGGCATCTTTAATAACACCCAGGCCCTCATTGGCCCAACAGGAGCTTCAACATCATGCTAAAGGCAGGAATCGGTCAAGCGATGCTACACCATCTACAATGAAACATCAAGAAACAACGAATGCACATATCCCCGAAGTGTGCGATGTCCGCTTGAAACTTGAGAGCCAAACTTGTGGTCAATCGCAAATGCCCGGAATGGGTGCTATGTTGCTGGCGTGTTCGGAAGCAACAAGCTGCGGCCAATGTAATGCAAGTTAAAAACGCTGCCAACAAGCAAGCATATTCGGATAACTGAGCCATACCAGTACGATCAAAACAAAAACTTTGTCATTCCAAGATTCAGAATGAAACGGGGAAAAACATAGCCTAACCTATGTCTGCGTTGAGAGGGCATGCAAACAGTGTGCAGCGGTTGCTTGAAGACCCTTGCTCCCCAGCGGCCCAACACTAGCCGCTAGCCTAACACGCTCAAGTGCTCGATGTTGCAGGGCGGCACGGTGTTCGGCAGCCTCCAAAGGGTGCGGTTTTCCAAAGAAAGATGCCCAAATAAACATTTACAGCAACATCATTTAACAACTTCCCCCAACCCAACCGATACCATCTCAAGCTCCCACCCCCCAACATATCAATGCCATATGCTACCATTCATTGTGCCACTGGTCTCCCCCACATGCTGGACAGGACAAGACTAACACCAAGCAGATTCAGGACAGGGAACTGGCCCACCCGGAGCCAGGAATTCCACCTCTGCAAGGCGAGCACGTAGCTCGGGAACCTCTTTTTCAAGGAACCTGAGCCAAACCCGAGGACTGAGGAATTGGGAGTCTGTGAGCAATTTTTCGCACTTGTGCCTCCGAAGCAATTCCTCTGCGCTGTGTCTTAGGCCGCTCTTTCCATCTATCGCTTCGCCTAAGTAAGGGCGAGTTATGGATGTAGTGTCATTTTGTCACCAGTCATCCGAGGGTGTTGCGCAAAAGCTGCGAGCGTTCATCAAATGCTTGCAGGAGCCGCGCCTGCAAACGGCGAAACGTCCCTGATTTTGAGTGGCCCTATATACTAGGGCCAACTAAGGAAGCTTCACCCATAGATCCCTTGGTCTGCACCCAAACGCTCCTACATAAGCAGCAAACACATCTGTGAGATCCTGACTTTGTTGGATTCGCTCGACATTTTCCGCAGCACCGAGCTCTTGATACCATCAGCCTCGCTGGCTACTGAGTTGCTGGAGCAGCTGCGCCACCTTTTGAGACTCTTGGTCTGCTTCTGGATTGTGTTGTCATCAGCGAGGTCTCTGGTAGTTGCTGCGGTCAGAAGATCGCCAAACGAATCATCAGAAGGTCAGAAGTCTGTTCAAAAAGCTGGTGGCCACATCTTCCACCCATTCGGATTTCCGTGCATTGGATTCGTCTTGCCATCCAATGTGGCCTCCATGCTTGGTGTATGCAAGGATCACGTGCTTACTACCACGCACTGTCTTGAAAGGTGCCCAGCTAGTCGCCATGGGGTCATCTGCTGCACTGACCATGAGCAGCGGTACTTCTACCTCGGCTAATCTTCTGCAAGAGCTTGCTTGATAGTAGTAGTCCTCTACAGATTTGTATCCAAACATTCGCCGGATAAGTGCCTCGTCAACATCTCTAATCCGTGTAGCAAATTTTAGCATCTTGTGGTCTATCAGTGTGTCTGTACCATTCCAAGACCGCACAGGCCCTTGTTGGTAGAAGGGAATAGCTGGTTCCAGCAACCGCTTCAAGTTTCGTAGCACGTGAGGGTCATACACATTTCTCATTGGCCAATGCTGTTCCCACTGTGTCGCGCATCGGCTTAAACAATGTGTTGTACAAAGGGCGACTCCACCATCAATAAGAGAGAAATTGTCGTGAGCATATCCTTCCTTTGTCTTCTGCTCTGCCAATGTGTTGACTAGGATGTTACCACCCAAGCTCCACCCAATGGCAAACACCTTCCGGTCTGCGCTCGGGCTTTCACTCAACAGATTCTGTCGAATATATTTCGCGACTGCCCGCAAGTCATCACTCGATCCTCTATGTGCTGAGGCGGAACGAGGTCTCTGCAAAGCCGATCCGAGATTGAGACCCGCTACGACGAAACCTGAATGAATCAATGATTCTGCCATGTTTTTCACATAACCTCCCTCCGTACTTCCGCCGAGGCCTGGAATGAGAATCACAGCCTTGGATTTTGTCGGGCTTGGGTCCGAAAACAGGTCCAGTGGCATCTCCCCACCCAAAGTTTGCACCGAGAGCTTCTGGGGAGCATCTAGCTTTGCAACTTCACGGAGGCTCCCAGCAAGCATTGTCATCAAATCACCCTGCTGTAGCCACCAAGGAGCCTTGTACCACTTGCTCCATCTTCTCAAGGCGGGGATCCCCTCATTCGCGAAGAGGTGCTCAGCAAGCAGGGACTTTTGGTTGAAATAAAGGCCTTCAATTCCTTCACTATCTTCAATATATGTCTCCGGAATATCAAAGTCCTTCGACTTCAAGCTCTTGGCTTGTCTAGTGAGGCCTCTCACATGCCAAGTCTTTGCGAGCGTTGATCTCGCAGATTGGTAGGACCCGGTCATGAAAGAAAGTCCCCAACCCCCCCAGGCCAAACCAAGCCACGCGCGCATGCAAAAAGCTGCAAAAACATTGACCAAAAGTGCTGTGGGCCAACCAAGGCTTTTGGCCTTGCATTCTGAGCCACACATAAATATGCCGGATTTCAGCAAACACAACGATGATTCGATGATGTAATGACACTGAGATTTTCTGTCAAGACTTGCTCCCCATGTTGCTACTGTACCTCACTCTCGCCACCTCGATGGCGGGCTTCCTCAAACAGTGTGCAAAGCGCTTGACAACATTTATGTTGCTGTATTGAGCATTTGACGGGTGAGATTCATGTTTGAACTGGGCCAACTCGTGCTCTGCGACTTGTACAGTTATGCGAGTTATGTGTAACATGCCCCTAAAGTTTGACACATTTCACATTTCTGGCGTTGCACCTTGTTATTCCTTCCGGTATCCTTGTCGCGCGCACGGCATGGGTAGCAAATCCCAGTGGCACAGTGCAGGGGATCGTGTGCTTCGTCTCATGCGACGACCTAAAAGATTTTTCGTGGTATTTATATACAGGAGATCGTGGGTGTTCTCAACAGGTAACGCTATGTGTTGGGTATGTGGGGCGGGTGGGGTGGGTGGTTAACAACAATCGGTTGACGGGCTACGCCAGGACCATTCTTCCTGTAAGAGCAATTGCTTCCAGCGCTATGACAGTGGTATTCTATGGTATTCTCCCCACGGTCATAACTCTGGGTTACGCGTTGCGCCTGCGCTATGCTTCCTGCGAGGCGAGGGCGATGTTCGGAGCTTCGGTGGCAAGGGTGCCGGAAGGAACTAGTCCGCCTGATTGATTACTCATTGATTGGTAGTGAATATACTTAAGGTGGAGTAAACTAGAGACGTCAGTCATGGGAATGCAGGTGCGCGTGACAAGGGGATCAGAATGTTGTTGTTTGCACCTTCTTCAGCCTCTTCTCCAGTCCTGAAAGGCTTCTTGAAGATGTTTGTCGATGGCGCTCAGCTGCTTCTGCTGGGCCTGTTGGAAGAAAGAACAAAACAAAACTGCTGATGAAATGAGACATGTGCGTCTGATGGCTATGACAAATCAAACCTTCACACCGCTCGTCAGGATCCGCTCATCCACCAAATGACTTCTTTTCACCCTTGGCATCTCAAGATTCCCTCGTTCCCAGTTCTTAATGGAGCAAGTCTCCCAAAAGGGTCAACACCTTGAAATACTAAATTATGCATGACTATATGTCCAAAGTGTCACATAGCTTGCGCAGCCAAAGCTGCGTTCAAAGCATGGCAAGGCCTGGACATCGATTTGGCATCCTCGCCTTGCTACCTGCGACCCATGCGACACAAATCCATGCCAAACCTACGGCGTGCCACAAGTCGCCTCCAAGCCCTTTCGCAAACTTGCAAGCTCCTCGCACAGTATCTGAGGCAATGTTTCGGCACAAAGGTTGTGGCTACGGCCCCAGGCCACGAAGAAATGAGGAGACAAATGCCATGAGCTTTGCCACGTTGTGCTAAGTCTGGTGCCGTTGATGCAGGCTGACAGGCAAGCTACTCAAACTAAGATCGAAGAAAACGACAGAATCGTATGTGCCTCCTAATGGTGTCAAGTGAGAATGGAGAAGGCACGTTGACGAAGTGAGAAGTTTACAAAAACCAGCAAAATGTCATTGTGAGCAAGCAAAGCAAAGGAAGCACCGCAGCAAAGGGATCTACATTTCAACAGATCAAAGCACATCTGATGCAGCAAGTCCAGTCCTAGACTTATGTATATTTATATGCTCTACCAAAGCATGTGCCTGGCCAGGTCATGCTTTTCAGCAGATTGGGTGGGCAAGAGATGGAATTACTACAACACAAAAAAATGTCCTCCGTCTGCACGCGTGCTGAACACAAATGGCTGGCGTGATTGCCAAACAGAAAGGCCTCCTTCTAAAGCACAGTGTTATGCAGTTTCTGTGAGGAGTAAATGCTGGGCTCTCTTCAGGATGCCCCTTCTGCTACAGGCGCTGCATGTGCAGGGGTCATGGGCACGGCACCTTCAAGTGTAATGATGGCCGGAAGGCCTTGTAAAGGACAACCAAAAAGGCCACCGCCGAGCACTCTTCTGGTGCTTTTTGCTGTTTTCACCTTCCAGCACATCATACCTTGCTGCACTCCTAGCTTTTGGCAAGTCCGACCCCAAAAGGTCCAACGTATGGCAGGCTGCGTTGGTTCATGATTTGGTGATTCCGTCAGGCACCAAGATCAAAGCACATGCTCAAACTAATTGGTAGAAACATCAAAACTCAATTGTCCATGTACCTCCATGTGACATGATCAAATTATCCAATTGACAGCGGAACCTTTTTTAACATGTCTATCATCGAATCTTTGGCCCATTGATTTGACACCCACTCCTCGGCAAGGAGGCAGAACTCGGAATGAAAACTGCCTTAGCACAGTGATGACCTGTAGTATGGCACAATCCATTCCTTTCTGTTCCATCAGTTAAATACTTCCATCCATAATTGGCCAACACCTCAGCTAGCCACAGCGGACAGCCACAAGCCTGACGCACGTCATAGAGCAACAACTCGCTGCAACTAGCTTCAAAGTGTCTTTCTGTTTCATGGCCGGCCTGGCGGCAAGGCCTTCGAGACGGCTTTGAAGCTGTTCTGCCCTGTCAAGTGACCGCCATGTCTCCCCGGGCTGCCCCCTTGGACTGTACACCTCTGGTTGTGAGCTGGGTGAGTGCCTAGTAGCCTTGGTAAGTCGAGATCTTGGACCAGAACCCACCGAACACTTTGGAACAAGGGAGACAACCCAAAAGCTCGGAGGAACAATCAAGGACGTCCTCCGAACACGCAAGGAAGAATGCAAACATCGGATGGCACAGGCATAATTGTGAATGGAATGGGTGGAAAGAATGGGAGCTGTGACAAAAGCCTCTTGACAACACCCAGGCACCTACAAAATGTGTCCATTCCTAGCACACACACACACATATATATATGTATATATGTATGTCCGTACGGCTTGCTGCATCATCTCATTATTGACCCCACTTCAACACCCTTGAAGAGCGTTCTGCACTCATAGTTTAGGACTTTCTAACTTGATATGCTTTGAACACCTGCAAGGCAAGGGCAGGTCCAACGCATCAATATATATATACATAACAATTCTGTGCTAAAGAGTGTGGTGACATGCGACCTGCCACCATGTGCCACAGCGCCCTCATACATCGGATGTTTTCCAACTTTCTTGTTTGTGCTCGTGCAACACGCAAGTGCATGAACAGTTTCGGTTGAGAAGCAGCAAATCAAGGCCCAAGTGGCAGCCTCAAGCATCCTCCTTGCCAGCTTGGTTCCCAGGCTACAGGGGGCATCTCCGGCGGTGTTTGTGGACTGACTGGTAATTACCATCTGGCACCCAATGTAGCTGATTGATGAATCAAAGCAGGGAAAGTTGGCAGGCGTGGGTGAACCACAAACCCAAGTACATCATGCACACACAGCTTTGAACAAACTAGAACAGCGGTGTTTCAAGCATCCCTTCCTTCATCCAATCTAGTCATTCAGCATTTGGGCACCGTGCTGCAACGTACGACCAAAGTGCAGCTGTTGCTGCAGCTGTGAGACGCGGCTTGACCTGTGAAGGAATCTGAATTGAGCAAAGTGCCAGCCATGTCTGCCTTCAAATCCTGGTCTAGGATTGAGCAAAGACAATCAACAAACAATCCTCTTTCCTGCATATGTGGACTCCATCCAGACCACACAAACTGCAAAACAGAACTCAAGCTCATCTATGAAAGTGCTCGCAGCGTGAGACTAACAGCTCTAGGATCCTTGCAATTCAAACACCCTTTGATTGTAGCCGGTTGGGACGGCCATGGCGCCCGCTCTTGTCTTCCTATCGCTGCCCCGACTGAATGCAGCTTAGCTCATGAGGACATGGTGGACATGTCATCTCATTCCATTTAAGCCAGGGAACTCTGTCTTGCCGACAAGGTGACAACATCCAGCAGCTGTGCGGCTATATGCATGTCTTTGCCAGCATATCATGACATCCGATAAGCTTGTTGAGAGTGCGAGCACGTGACAAGCGCTTAGAATTCTTCCATTCACCTCTAAATTACTCTACATAATATGTACATTATATATATATGTGTGTGTGTGCGCACCGAGAATAGAGCTTAAACATGCTTAAACAACCTCATTTTATTCAAACATGGTCATGGTCAATGTAAAGTGGATTGTAATGTCAGAGGTGTTTCAAGGCATTAGCCTTGGGTTCAAATGCCACCAGTGGCAGGGCGGTGCGGGCCGAATTTGACCATGGAGTGCCATGTTGTTGAACCAACTTTGTCTACATTGGAGTCGGGGGCTAGAGCTTCGATGGTGATCCAAGTTGAGTGGCAGGATCAGTCTGGTTGGATACTTGGTGAAACAACTCGTATGAAACGGAAGGTATGGACTCAGCAAGAGCAAATGCAGTTGGAAGCCACTCGGTTTACCTTTCTGGATGTGCTAGTCATCAAAGTTGGACCGATTCCCACAGTGCAGATGGATGGTATGTCCTTTAGGTTTCCCCATCGTTTGCTCACACCGGAATCCCTGATGCAAGTGGTGGAGACTTGCACAGGTTTGGGAGCACTTGGAAAGGGGGCGGTTGATGCTGGCTTTAGTGTGATGGCCCAGAACGAAGTCCGAAGTGAGATCTGCGACTTCTTGGAGCTGCAACAGGGTCCCCTCATTGTTCGGGGTGATATTGGTGACACGGTGACGACGGTGACGGTGGCCACTATCATGAAGCATGTTCCATCTGCAGGGATCCTCACTGCAGGGGTTTCATGCCAACCCTTTTCCAGAATGGGAGATCGTCGAGGTGAAGCAGATGCCAGGTCCAACTGCTTACCAAAGGTTCTTCGTGCAGCCTATTGGATGCAAACCCCAATCATCGTGCTTGAGTGTGTTGCAGATGTGGTGAAGTTCCCGGCCTTCGAGGAGTGCATTCGAGCCTTTTGTGGTGTCTCGGGAATTCATTACGAGCACATTTTACTTGAGTTAGGATGTGTGGGTCTCTCGTAGGCATCGTTGGTGGGGTGTGCTGACTAAGGGCAACCTTGGACCCTTTAAGCTCTTCGATTGGAGTGGGGTCAGATCCAATCCCAAAATCTCCTCGGTGCTTAACCATTTTGGTACTGTGCCGCCTGAACATGCGAAGCAGCTCCAGCTAACGCTGTATGAGCTTCGCTCGATCCATGAGCTTGGCACGCTTCAGAAGTATGCCATTCGAATTGACCAACAGGCACCAACAGCGGTCCACACTTGGGGCAGCCATTCCATGGTTGCCGATGCGGCTGTCGTTCTTCAGGTCTGGCCTTAGAAAGGTTGCAGCGAGATGGCATCCATGTTTTGCTCATCCCGACAGGAGGAATGACAAAGCACATGAGGATGGAGCTGCCTCACATGAGGTGTCCTTCGGCTGCCGAGTGCGCATTGATCAATGGTTTGTCTCCCAACCTGCAATGGGGCCAAGACGCAAGACTCAGACTATGCCTGGTGGGCCAGCTGGCCTCACCCTTGCAGAGCGCATGGATTCTGACTCATGTTCGGCAGCACTTGCCCAACGAGGATTGCTCCCTCCAAGTGCCAGCGGGCCTTTGGATGTATTGGCCAAGCAGCGAACGAAACTGATGGAAGAAGCAGAACAAGGAGGTTTCTTCAAATTTCCGGTGGCGGTCAATGACCACACTCCCTTGGAAGAACCAGCTGAACCTTCCCACAGAAGACTTCTTGGGCATTTCAAAGGAGTTGTCAATGGGGTGGAGTATTTGATTCCATTCAAGGCGGGATGTCAAATTTGGCATTGGGTCCAGGCAGAAGTGGCTTTGTTCCCGGTGGAGACCAAGTTTTGCTGCATCAACGCAAAAGGTGAAATTGCATCATTGAATGAAGAAATTGGCGAGTCTATATACATGGGTTCGCTTGGACATCATGGAAGGGGAAGGAGGCCGCAAGATCGTTCTTCCGGCAAGGGCAGGTACTGACAATGAACCTCCTTGCATTTCGGGTCCACAAGATGTCATTGCAATGAGAGCTAATAGACCGTCTCTCGTCAACAAGTTGATTGAGATTGAAGACCTCGGAAATCCCTGGGGCGATGATGAGATTGCTTGGCACCTTGCTCAACTGGCAAAGGAGGCAAATTCCTTTGCTACATGGGTGGATCCGTTGGTGACAGCTAGTACCATTGCGCATGGAACGGCTTTGTTTCTGGCAAGTGATGGCCCTTTTTTCCGGGTGAGTGGATGGTTGCTTTGTGTTCCTTTTGTGGCTGGCCATTGGATTTCTTTGATTGGTTTCGCAGATGGTGATCACATTCACTTCTCCATTTGGGATACTACCAAAGACCACTTCGCAGCGATAGAGGTTCTGCATACCCCTCTGACCAATCTGGTTGGGGCAAAAGAGTTCTCAGTCACGCAGTACATGAGGGTAGCTACAAATTTGCAAAGCTGTGGACCAGATGCAATTGCCCACATTCATTTTGCGTTGCTTCAATGTATGGCACCGACTCCCAGGTCCATTGAACATGTGTCATCCACTCGGCACCAGGCCTTCGTGCAGCATGTTCGTGATGATGGATACTGTCAAGATGCAGTGTTGAAGGGGGCGGGTACCCAGCAGATCCCGTTGGCTGACCAAGTCAAGAACATCCTGATTGAGCGAGGAGTTGGAGCACAAGAGGCCCTTCAACGGGCGAGCACGGCCATGGATCGAATAGGCCATAGCAAGCTTCAACAAGCCATGAAATCTCCCTTTTCATGGAGTCAGCTGAAGGTGTTGGGCAACCAGTGCAGTGCACACCACCGATGAGATGGATCTTGGCTAATGAATTGGAGGAACACATCCGGTTGAAGGCGGCCTCGGGGCAGGAAGTTGGTAATCGTGGAAAACCCAAGAAGCAGAAGCTCTCCGTCCAGACGGTCAAGATCCCAACATCTGTCTCAATTCGACCTGATCAGATTTTTGTGGCCGATAATACATTTGTTGGCATTATATAATACGGATGGATCCACTGAGAGCCTCAAGGTCATTTCGATCAATACATTGGGAGCAGATGCCACGGGTGTAGCTTTGTGTATGCCGGATCAGTGCAGACCATATTTGAGCCTCCAACAGCCCTTGTCCAAGAAGGCCCTTGGCTTGATCGTCGTGGGTGAACCTCGGCCTGAACTCAGTGCTCCTCGGGTGACTGAAGTGAGATTTCCAGCCAAGAGATTGGGAGGCATGGAGCGTCCTTGTGCAAATTGGAGATCGTCCAGTGCAGAAGTATAAGTATAAGCCAAACACTTGCATGAATCTGGACATATTGCAAACTTGCGTGATCAGGTTTGCTTTGTATCGAGATGAGCATCCAGATGATTGGAAAGTGGTCACAGACCGCCCCATTCGGCATCTCCAAGATTCTTTCCCTCCACTCCAGTTGTCCCACCAGGACAGCTGTGGTTGTGGTAAGTGGCACAGCAATGATGAGCAGGTCGCTTCCCCATTGGTTGACATTTGGTCACGGAGTTTTCTGACCAGCAGCTTTCGCCAGGCTCGTCCACATGATGCTGAGATTTTCTCTGTCATGACTCGTATTCCAAAGAAGTTGGTGGATGCGGTCATCCGAGCATCAGGGACTCATGGAATTTATGTCGAACCAAGAGCGGAGGATGTTCGGGAGGCCAGTCCTTCATTTGGCTCCCCAAGCACATGAGGGAGGACGCCACCTTGTTGAGCAAACAGATTATGGAGGTGTTGGGCTTGGCCAGATCAGGGGGACAGAGTTGGCCTTCGAGTTCAGACAGCTCTGGCAGAGAAAGTGGCAAAGATCATTAGGCCAAATGATGTTTACGTGTCTGCCCTTGGTCGAAAGCAATTTTAGATTGGGCCTATCCCTTATGGCACCCAAAGGCAGGCTTTGGCAAAGGCTTTGAAGGAGTTTGGCTGGAATGCGAAGCCAGCTCAAGTGGTTCAATCGGGTTTTTCAGTGCAGGGGTTGCATTGGTCAGTTCAGTCCAGGGAGGATCCTCCCAGCTATGTCCTTCATTTTCGAGCTTCGGAAGCCATCATCACTTCCGTGAGCGAAGACACTGTTCAGGCACTTCAGGTACCATCTGTGGTTGCAGCCAAGGGAACGATTGCCAAGTTCCAGATCCCAGCGGCCCAGGACCGTGACGTGAAGGATACTTTCCAGACAAATGACCCGTGGGCGAGGTTCAAACCTACTCATGCAGCGCCATCGTCAGTTGATGTTTCGCAGTTGGTCAAGCATGTGCGGACTGAGGTCCTTGCCCAAATGCCTGCCACAGTTTCCACTGCACCTGTGGCAGACGTTGACATGACAGGTACACAGACAGAGGCACGGATCGTAGCACTTGAGAAGAAGATGGAAGAGCTTGCCACAGCCCAAGATCAGCTCCAATCCACAACAGCAAAGCAAGCAGCGGCTAGAAATGGGGAGTTGGCCTCGTTGAATTCGAAAGTGGATGAGCAAAAGTGCGAGCTCAAAGGCATGTTCGATCAGCAGATGAATCAAATTGAGCAGCTTCTCTCCAAACGAGCTCGCACTGACTGACTCAACGTTGGCATTTTGAACTATGTACAGGTTTTGTGGGAGCTTTGGTATCAGCTTGTATGTTGGCTGGGGTGTGTCATGTTTCCAAGCTGGATACTTCATTTGGGAAGACAGGACCGTCGGAGGTCCTGCAAATGTTCTTCCTCGACCTCTTTGTGGCAACTTTGTTTGTGGATTCTCTTGATGGTATGCAGGGTTGGGGAGGCATCCCATCCAGGGCCTGTTGACATTCAATGGAAGTTGGGGTTGATGAATCCTACAGGCCTGCAGGGCAAAGAAATGCTTTTGAATAGTGTTGGC